CCCCAAAACCCCAAAACCCCAAAACCCCGTTAGATTCAAATACAAAGATTACATAGTAATAAGATAATATTAATAAATTTGATGGAAGATAAAATATTAAAAAAAGCTGCCAATAGATACGAAACATATCAAGAAGAAATTGAGCTTGAGAAGCATCTGATACCATTAAATCATGATGAAGAGTTAGATTAGATGATCAATAAAGTTCACCAAACATAGCCAGATAAAGATTAGAATAACTTAAAGGCAGGAAATAATGTAGATAAAAATAAATACTATCTAAATAATGAATTTACGCCAAGTGAAACTTTCAAGTCAGGATATACGATTGAAGGAAATACACCAGTAAACTCCAAAAATGTTAACAATCCAGATAACTAGTAAAGCCTGAGACCATCAAATCTCAATCCTCCTCAGTCAAGCTTTCATACAATGAGGTTGAGTGATAGAAGTACATCTACTATTTAGAAGAAGGTGAATCACACTTACATAATCTTGGCTTTATTAGCATCTCTATTCAATTCTACTGGTTAAATTGTTCGTGGCTATGAAAGTAAAAATGCATTAGCTTCAAATCTTATCTAAAACTCTACCTTTTGTATCATTCCGTTCTTATATTTGATATTCAGAAGGATTAAATCCTCTAGAACTGGAGTACCAATGATCATGCCATGGTATTAAGATCCAAATGCAATGAAGTAAAATAATATACTACCGATTGAAAACTAGCCCAAAGCAACTTATAAATTTGTACCGAAAATCCTAATGTTCTTAATGATTGGTGGTTCTTTTGAATTTATTGGGTGCTATTTTTTAGTATTATCTTTTCATTTCGGCTAACTTGCTCATATGAATGACGGAATCACCTCTTCTCTGATATTATTTAGTTGCGTGTACATTTTGATTATGCAGTATCTGATTTACAGAGATAAAATTAATTTTATCCAGGCTATTGGTATGTTATTGATTCTGGTTGCAGTAGCAATTGTTAGCGTGTTTACTCCAGATTAGACATAGAGAATTCATTAAGAAGCAGAGGAGCATAGTGATAGTTATTATGAAGCACTTTGTATATTAACTGGACTTATTGCTGCAGTTTTATTTGGATAAGAAATAGTATTTGTAAGAGTTTTGACTGAATACAAGGTAGATGGTGAACTCTCAGGCTACTTCTATCCTTTATTTGTTGGTATATATGGCATAATCGGAGTCATCAGCTATGTAATTATTTTTGATATTGGTGAGGATCATTATGAATTACATGATCTCTTACTTATCTTGATGGGAGGAATTTGTGAATCAATCGGAATGGTATTATAGATTATAGCTTCTTCAATAGGAATCGGAGGCATCGCATTTAGTCTTGCCAATACATGCTGCATCTTTGTCACCTTATTTAACTATTTAGTATTTTCGTAGCCAATTTCATTCCTCTAAGTGATCGGTATCATTATGACAGTCTTAGGAGCATCGATAATATCTCTAGACGATAAGATTACTGCTCTTGTATAGAAAATCAAGATAAAGTGATACAATCATTATCAAAGAAATTAAATGAGGCTGAATAGCTATTTATCTCAATAAATTTAATGTTTTATTAATTAAATTTACTATAAATTATTTTATCTATCAGCTGGGGTTTTGGGGTTTTGGGG